AGGAGAATCACTTGAACCCAGGAGGTGGAGGTTGCAGTGAGCTGAGATTGAGCCACTGCACTCCAGCCTGGGCGACAGAGTGAGACGCTGTCTCAGAAAACAAATTATTTAAAATAATTTTTTAAAAAATTCCTTTAGCCCTAGGCAAAAATTTACATTTCATGCCTTTTTATAACCTTTTACAAAAAAACATTTGGCCAAGCGCCATGGCTCACACCTGTCATCCCAACACTTTGGGAGGCTGCAGTGGGTGGATCACAAGGTCAGGAGTTTGACCAGCCTAGCCAACATGGAAAAACCCCATCTCTACTAAAAATACAAAAATTAGACAGGCGTGGTGACACTCCCTGCAATCCCAACTACTCAGGAGGCTGAGGCAGGAGAATCGCTTAAACCCAGGAAGCAGAGGTTTCAGTGAGCTGGGATTGCACCACTGCACTTCAGCCTGGGCAACAGAGCAAGACTCTGTCCCTAAAAAACAAAACAAAAAACATTTTACTGTTCTTGCACACCTTGCATGTAAATCTATTTCCAGCGGTCTCAACTACATGTTATAATAGTTAACTCCTACCAATTTTTAACTTTAATGTAATACCTGGTAAGTTGTTTTGTGTGCTAGGTGCAGCCAAGATTTGACTCCTAGCACAATTAGGAGTGTGGCTAGTTCTATATGTTCCCAGGCCTTAACAGTTGTGAAACCAGAAAATCAAATAGTTCTCAAAACCAAAAAGCAGTTTATAACCTTAAAACACTTGGCAAACCTTGCATCTGACCTGCACAATTTAGTCCGCCTATTTACATTTTGATGGCATCTGCTTTTTACCAATAATTTTTAAAGCTGTTTTTATTTCTCAAAGATTAAAGTCACATGAACTGAAAGATACCGCTACTTTTATTTTCTCTTTTAAAAAATATTTGATCTAAGCACTTGTCTTTTTCTAGGCCAAATTAATTAGAGCTCTTTTTACAGACATCATACATAACACATATATAGTTACACAGGCAGGCAGAAGAAAACCAGTCGCTGGGACAGACCCTTTAAGAGACAGGGCTAGGAAAATATGCAGATATCAAACTAGAAAGGAACTCATTCCCTAAGGCAGAATTGCTAAACAAAGCCATACGAGGGTACTCGAGGCCAAGACCCAGGTTGTAAAACAACATGGAGGCCTGCAGTGAAGTTCCCTAGGAACCACACAGACAGGCAAAGCACATCAGTGTGCAGGCCAGTTGGGAGTTTCTCTGGGGACCCTTTCCCACCTGGCTGTCTCAGAAAGATAAGCATTAAATTATAAGGATTGAGAGCTGGAAGGGAGGAGAATCTTAAGGGCTTCACTGGCAATATTTCATTGCTTAAGTGGGTGATAGGGTGCATCCTGTGTTATATTTTATACTTTTTTGGGTGTCTGAATTATTTGATAATTTTTTAAAGCTACAAGACAGTGTGATTAGTGCTGTTAGGAGAAGGACAAGATGCTAAGGTGGCATTTGACAGAAGAACCCAGGCTTGTCTGGGAAGGCTTACAGGGGGACTGTCATTTAAGTTAGCCAGGAGGAAGCAGGAAGAGTGTTCCCAGAAGAAGGAACAGCCTTTCCAACAGCCCAGAGAACGTGTTACTTAATGAAGGAACTGAAAGAAATCTGGGGCAAATAGAGCAGGGTTCTGTGATGGGAGAGGGGAGTCAGGAGGTGAACTAGACAGCAGAGTTGAGTACAGGCTTCTTCCTAAGTACGGTAGAAGCTGGTGGTGAGTTCGAAGGTGGGAATAACTCTGGAAGTAATGGTCATGGGCTATCTCACAAACTCAAGTTCAGTCAAATGATTTTTCTCAAAGCCCCTATGCCAGAATGTCAGGAAGTCTAGGTACTCCCTTTCGTCTTTGCCCCCTGCCCCATTGTTCAAAATCGAGGAGCTGAAGGACGCTGGCATCAGAGAGATCTGGCAAGGCCACGGCCAATTAGTCTTCTTCTGCCTAACATACAGCAGCACCTCTCTCTGGCCCAGCCTGGCGTAAGCCACAGGAGTCACTGAGTGAATGTGCCCTTCTCTTTTCGCTTGGAGGCCAGCTTTGTCACACCCTCCATGTTCAGGAGAGTCTGTAGTTCCTGTCTTAGGGCTGTGCATAGCATAGCTGTTCCTGTACCTGAAAGACCCTTCCCCACCCAGACATCTCATGGCTCCTCCCTCACTTCATTCAGGCCTTAGGTCGACTGCTGCCTCATTTAAGGGGGTCTTCCACAAAACCCCATCTAAAGCTAAATCGTGCTGGAGCCCCGATCCTGCTTTTCTTCATTACACTAATCTCTGTCATTATGTGTATTTTCCTGCCCCACTTGTACTAGAATGTACGTTCCATGAACGCAAAGAGTTTGTCCTGCGGGCAAGAACCTTCTCATTAGACTATAATACATCAACAACAGCTCCAAAACCTCATGGCTTACCCCGACAAAAATCCCTTTCCTGTTCACACTAATGCTCACAGCAGAAGCGGCAGTAGGAGGACAAGGTAGCAAATCCTACACTGGCTCTTCAAGCACCTGCCTAGAAGAGATGTCTATGATTTCTTCCACATTTATCTGACCAGAGCAAGACATATGGCTCCATGTGACCAATAGATTCAACACCTGTTCAATTCTCAGCAACTAGAAAAAGAGGGAACTTCCGGCCAGGCACAGTAGCTCACGCCTGTAATCCTAGCATTTGGGAGGCTGAGGTGGGTGCATCACCCGAGGTCGGGAGTTCGAGACCAGCCAGACCAACATGGAGAAAGCCCGTCTCTACTAAAAATACAAAAATTAGCCAGGCTTGGTGGCGCATGCGTAATCCCACTACGCGGGAGGCTGAGGCAAGAGACTCGCTTAAACCTGAGAGGCATAAGCTGTGGTGAGCTGACATCGCACCATTGCACTCCAACCTGGGCAACAAGAGTGAAACTCCATCTCAAAAAAAGAAGGAAAGAAAAAGAGAGAACTTTCTCAGTATGATAAAGGCATCTCCAAAAAACAGCTAACATGACATTTACAAAGACTGAATGCTTCCCTCGGTGGATCAAGAACAATGCAAGGATATGCAATAAGGCAAAGTAATAAAAAGCATACAAACTGGCTCCATTCAAAGACAGCCTGATTGTACATGAGGAAAATCTTAAGGAATCTACCCCTCAAAAAGCTACTGGAAACTAATAAGTTTGTGAAGGTCACAGAATTCAAAGTCAACATACAAAAATCAATTTTATTTTTATTTTCTGGATGTAACTGGATGTTGACACTGAAAAAACTGGAATTTACAGAATTTTTTTTCTTATAAAATGGAATTTTTTTTTTTTTTTTAGACAGAGTTTTGCTCTTGTCACCGAGGTTGGAGTGCAATGGGACCATCTTGGCTCACTATAACCTCCCCCTCCTGGGTTCAAGCAATTCTCCTGCCTCAGACTCTTGAGGAGCTGGGACTACAGGCATGCGCCACTACACCCAGCTAATTTTTTTGTATTTTAGTAGAGACGGGTTTTCACCATTTTGGCCAGGCTAGTCTCAAACTCCTGACCTCAGGTGATCTGCCCACCTCAGCCTTCCAAAGTGGGAATTTTTAAAATTTAACAAAACAGGTACAAGATGAGAACACAGAAAACTACAAAACATTTGAATGAAATTAAAGAATACCTAAAAAGTTGGAGAGATATACTGTGTTCGTAGATTGGAAGAATCATTACTGTTAGGATGCCAGTTCTCTCTAAATTGATCTTTAACTTCAGTGCAATCCCAGTCAAAATTCAAGGAGTTTTTGTTGTTGTTGTTGTTGTTGTTTTTGTTAAAACTGACAAGCTGATTCTAAAACTTTATGTGGAAATGCAAAGGACCTAGAATGGCCAAAACAATTTTGAAAAATAACAAAGTTGCAGGTCTTTGTTAACCTGATGTTAAGATTGACTAAAAAGGGACAGGATAGAGAGCCTAGAAATAAACACACACATTGGCTTTTTCGCCAAGCTGCCAAAGGAATTTAATAAAGGAAAGGATAAACTTGTCAATAAATAATGCTGCAACAACTGGATATCCACATGGAAAGAACCTTGATTCTAACCTCACACCACATACAAAACTGAACTAAAAATAGATTACTGATCACAACAAAAAAGCTAAAACTATGAAACTTCTGGAAGAAAATACAGGAGAAAATCTCCATAACCTTGGATTAGGCAAAGATTTCTTAAATAGCACATAAACCATTAAAAAAGAAAAGCTGTCATGAAAGACATTGCTAAGAAAATGGAAAGCCAAGTCACAATGAGAAAATATATGTAAAACATATACCTGAAAAAAAGTCTTAATCCCAGAATTTATAGCGAACTCTTACAATCCAATAATAAAGCAAATGAATTTATTTTAAAATGGGCAAAAGATTCATGTATCAAAAAATATATGAACTGCCAATAAACATGAAAAGGTACCTAGCATCATCTGATATTAGGAAAATACAACTTAAAACTACACTGAATTCCGGCATTTCAGGAGGCCAAGGCAGAAGGATTTCTCGAGCCCAGGAGTTCAAGACCAGCCTAGGTAACACAGTAAGACGCCATCTCTACAAAAAATACAAAAATTAGCTGAGCATAGTGGCATGCATCAGCTTCTTGGGAGGCTGAGGTGAGAGAATTGCTGGAGCCTTAAGGAGGCTGAGGCTGCAGTAAGCCATGATTGTGCCACTGCACTCCAGCCTGGGCAACAGAGCAAGGCCCTCAAAAAAATAAAAATAAAACCATCTACACTGAAAACTAATCACACCCACTAAAACAGCTAAAATTAAATAGGCTAACATAAATAACAAGTGTTAGCAAAGATGTGGATCAAATGGAACTCGTATACTGCTAGGGGAAAATAAAATGGTACAACTACTTTGGAAAACAGTTGCAAATCTATGAAATTAAACATATACTGACATATGACCATCTGACCAATCAGGTATTTGCTCAAAACAAATGAAAACAATTGTTACACAAAGACTTGTATTTTAAGGTTAACAGCAGTTTTATTCATAATAACCTCAACCTGGAAACAATGCAATATCCATCAGCAGGTAAATGAAGAGTGTGGTACAGCCATACCATGGAATAACTGTGCACCAATAGATATAACCTACTGATACATGCAACAACATAGATGAACCTCAAAAACATTACACTGAACAAAAGCAGACAGACACAAAATATATATACTACACTATATGCTATGGTTTAAATCCCTCCAAAATTCATGTTGAAACTTAATCTCCAATGCAATAGTAATAAGAAGTGGGTCTTTGGAGGTATAATCAGGTCATGAGAGCTCTTCCATGGTAAATGAGCTTAAGCCCTTTGAGAGCGGCTGCACACAGCATTTGCCCCCACCTTTTTTTATTTTTTATTTTTTGCCCATCTGCCCCATCTACCATGTGAGGACACAGTGTTCAAGGCACTATCATCAAAGAAGAAACTGGGCCCTCAGACACCAAACCTGCTAGCGCCTAGATCATGACGTTTTCAGCATCCAGAACTGTGAGAAATAAATTCCTATAATGTATAATACCCAGTCTCAGGTATTTTGTTACAGCACCACAAACAGACTTAGATACTGTATGATTCCATTACTGGAACTCTAGAAAAGAAATTCTAATTTTTCTAAAAAGAAAGGAGAGAGTCATTGCCTGGAGCCAGCAGAGGGGAAAGGATTGATTGGGATGGGAAACCGAGGAATTTGCCAGTGTGATAGAACTGTTTTGTCTCTTCACCTATGGGGATAGTGACACAAGTACATAAATGTATCAAAACTCCTTGAACACTTAAAACTGTTGCATTTTATTATACAATGAGTCAATAAGTGGAGTTTTTTAAAACTCAATTATATTTCTTCCTGGAGCAAAGAATGACTCTGAGGTTTCTGGCTTGGGAAATCAGATGCATGCTATGCCACCTATAGATGAGGAAACACAAAGCAGATTCTGAAGGAAACATAAAAAGCAGATTATCTGGGAAATCTTGAGCTTGAGATGTTCTTTAGAAAAATGTTCATTTAAATATCTTCTCCATTTGTTAATTGGGCTGTTTGGATTTTGCGTTGAATTACAGGAATTCTATATGATCACTGTATGAACCTGCAAATAAAATAGATGTAAAGGTCTGGAGAAATAAGAATTTGGGAAAAATCCGCACATATATGGCAAGTGAAGTCATGGCAGAGAATGAGATCACCCAGGTAATGTGTTTAAGGCTAACAACAGAACCTTCAGCAGCACCAGGGATGGACAGAGACTGAGAAGCCAGAGTGACAGGAAAACTAGGAGAGTATTATGTCACAGAAGCCAAGGCTTGTATATTACAAGGAGAAAACAACAAAAGATTATCCACTCAAAGCCGGGCACAGTGACTCACCCACGTAATCCCAGCACTTTGGGAGGCTGAGGCAAGCGGATCACAAGGTCAGGAGTTCGAAACCAGCCTGACCAACATGGTGAAACCCCATCTCTACTAAAAATACGAAAATTAGCTGGATGTAGTGGTGAGTGGTGTGCACCTGTAATCCCAGCTACTCTAGAGGCTGAGATAGGAGAATGGCTTGAACCTAGAAGGAGGAGGTCACAGTGAGCCTAGATCACGCCACTGCACTCCAGCCTGGGCAACAGACACTCTGTCTCACAAAAAAAAAAAAAAAAAAAAAAATAAAAAATAAAAATATTATCCACTTAAATAAGCTACCCAGTCCTTAGGAACCCAGTGACAGCAGTTTCAGGGCAGTAGTAATAGCAAAGGTAAAGGAGTCAAAGGAATATAAAGAAGTATAGGCATTTCAACAAATAATGCTGGGATACTTGGACAGCCAAATGCAAAAGAACGATGTTTGACAATGACTTTAAATCATATACAAAAATTAAATCAAAGACCTTAATGGCTCAAAGACCTTAATGTAATAGCAAAAACTATAAAATTCTTAGAAGAAAACATCAGAGTAAATCTTCATGACCCTGGATTTGGCAATGGATTCTTAGATGCAACACCAAAAGCATGAGCAACCAAAGAAAAATGCAGATACATTTGACTTCATAAAAAATTAAAACTTTGTGTATCAAAAGACACTACAAAGAAAGTGAGGACAACCCACCTGGAAGAAAATAGCTGCAAATCACATATCTGATAAGGAACTAGTATAAGGAATACATAAAGAACTCCTACAACTCGACAACAACAAAATAACCTGATTTGTAAATGGGCAAATTTAAAAACTGACAAAAAATCTGAATAGACATTTTTCCCAGGAAGATATACAAATAGCCAATAAGCATATGAATAGGTACAAGGTCATTAGTCATCAGGAAAATGCATATCAAAACCACAGTGAGTCCTGTATTCATGTACTGGAAGCCTTAATAGTGGTAAGATGTCAATACTACCCAAAGCACTCTACAGATTCAATGCATTATCTATCAGATTCCTAATGGCAGAATCCCAAAAATATCAAAATCCATCTAAAGTATATGAAATCACATGGGACCCTGAACAGCCAAAATAATATTAAAAAAGAAAAAGTTGACGTCTCACACTTCTGAATTTCAGAAAGTACTACAAAACTATGGTAATCAAAAAACCGTGAGCCTGGCTCTCAACTTCTCCACAACAAAGGACCAAAAAAGCAAGGAGATAACCACGAGTCAGGTAGAGCACCAAAGACAGAACACTTTAATTCAGCAGGGAAGTGACAGGGAACCTCTGAGGCGCAAAAGGAGCAGTAAACAAAGCAGCTAGTGTGTCTTGGATTGGCTCAGAGGCAGGAAGGACATCTCATTTCAAGGAAAAGAAAAGTGAAAGAACCCCAGTGGTCCACATTCCCAGGACAGATGCTGGCACCCACAGAGGATGCCATCAGCCTTCACAGGCCCTAAGCCCAGTATACAGAGCTGCCTGGACTCCATGCAAATGTGTTGTTCCAGAAAGGGAATTCCACTGGATCCTACTCACATCTCAAGAAACATGCTGCTGTGGCACCATTTTAAGAGCCTAGCCCCCACCAGATTATATCCTGTCTTGGGGTCCAATAGCCCCTGCAGTCCACATCCCTGAGCCCCCAGGAACACCCTCCCACATCCAACCAGAAAGCTGCAATATCACAACCACCCAGCAATACAGCCAGGTTTCCAGTACTTTCACCCATATAGCGTCTTATATCCCAGGGAACAGGCAGCGTAGCACACTAGGGAGGCTGCCCCCAGGAAAAAGGGAGCTGAAGCTCCCAGAATCTGGAAGCCACCTTCCCAACACCAATGACACCAAGAGAACCCTGCCCCTCTCAGCAGGGCAACAGCACACCTGCATGCACCTTCAGGGGACCTGAAGACCAGTGTGTCCATATGTAACATCCAAGAACCTAAAGACAGCCCTGCCCTACCCACTGCCACCAGTGTTCTCAGGTGCCATCTTTCCTTCGTGCCACTGCTGGTGCCTACATGCTGTCAGGGGGCCTGAGGACTGGCCCACCCCATCCAACACCACTGGTGCCCACACACATAATCCCAAGGCCTGAACAGGCCCGCCCCACCTACCACCACCAGTGCCCACCCAAGTGCATCACCTAGGGAATGGAAACTAGCCCATTCATCCTGCCACAGGTACTGCCAACAGCTGTGATTGCCACCTGAGGGTCCAATGTCCAGCCCACTGCTGCTACTGCCAGCACCATAAATTTTGCCTTGGGCCTTGAGGACCAGCCGACCTGGGCCCCCCACTACCATTCACTACCAGCGCTTACACCAGCTGGGGTCCTAAAGACCTGCATGCTCAGCCCATCACCAGCCACCACAGCTAATGCCTGCACATGTCACAAAAAGGCCCAGGGACTGGCCCCTCTGGCACCCCTGTGCCCAGAAAAGCCCCGCAACAGCCTCAGCTAACAAAGACAGCTTAAGCCACTGAGGACTCACAGTGACACTGACTACAGCTGAAGAAATCATTGATGTTGTGCTCAACAGAATCAAAGCCAAAACATCCTACTCAGCCAAAACTATAGATATGCCTACACAAAAGTATTTCCTTACGAAAGCCAATCCACAAAATTGAAAGAAGCAACTATTCCACTAGATGAATAGATATCAATGTTAAGGACACAAGAAACATGAAAAAGCAAGGAAACTTGCTCCAAAGAGATACAATACCTCCAGAGAGATACCTCCAAAGAAACACAATGATTCTCCAGTAACACATCCAAAAGAAAAGGAAATCCATAAAAATGCATGAAAAAGGCCAAACATGGTGGTTCACGCCTATAATCCCAGCCCTTTGGGAGGCCGAGGCAGGCAGATCACCTGAGGTCAGGAGTTCAAGACCAGCCTGACCAACATGGAGAAACCCCATCTCTATTAAAAAATACAAAATTAGCTAGGCATGGTGGTGCATCCCTGTAATCTCAGCTACTAAGGAGGCGGAGGCAGGACAATTGCTTGAACCCAGAAGGCGGAGGTTGCAGTAAGCCAAGATCACACCATTGCACTCCAGTCTGGGCAACAAAAGTGAAACTCTGTCTCAAATAATAAAAATAATAAAATGCCTGAAAAAGAATTCAAAATAATGATCTTAGGGAAATTCAGCAAGTTACAAGAGAACACAGATAATACAAATAAATTAGGAAAACAATTCATGATCTGAATAAGGCATTCAACAGAGATAGACATAGAAAAATAACCAAACAAATCATGGAACTGAAAAATTCAATGAATAAAATTTTAAAATACAACTAGAGAAAGCAAAACAAAGATTTTCTGAATTTGAAGACAGGTCTTTTGGAGTAATCCAGTCAGACCAAAAAAATGGGACATCACCAAGCGAACACATATTTAAATTGTGAGTGTTTCAGAAGAAGAGGTGAGAAAAGGCATAGAAAACCTATTTAGCAAAATAATAGTCAAAAATTTCTTAAGTCTTACAAGAGATACAGACATCCAGATACAGGATGCTCAGTGATCCCCAAAAAAATTCAAATCAAAAAGGTCTTCTGCAAGGCACATTACAGTCAAACTGTCAAAAGTCAAAGACAGAATTCTAAAAACAGCAAGCGGAAAAGCATCAAGTCACATATGAGACTTTCCTGTAAAAAATTTTAAAAAAAAGACACCACCTTACAGGTCAGGGGAGAATGATAAAATATATTGGAGTGCTGAAGCAAAACTGCCAGCCAAGAATACTAAACTAAGTAAAGCTATCCTTCAAAATTGAAGGGGAAATAAAGTCTTTCCCAGAAAAGTAAAAACTGAGGGAAGGAGGACCCAGGCCCTCGGAGGAGCCTCAAAGTGCCTCATCATGCAGGCCCTGTGAAAGAGTGCCATCAAGAGTCCCTCAGGGTTCAGGAGTCGCCTCTGGTGTCCCAGAACAGCCAGCGACTGCAACCAAGGGCAGGAAGAGCAACAGGAGGGCTGCCCAGGCCCAGTTAGAAGATCAGATCATGGCCGCCCAAGAAATGGAGCATGGGGAAAGGGATCCAAAAACTGATGAGCATGAGGAAAGAAAACCTTTTGCAGAAACAGATGAGGAAGACAAGGGGGTTGATGTACAGCAGCTACAAGTAATTGCAGCTGCCATTAAACAGGGTCTTGCTGCACACACACACACACACACACACACACACACAAAGGTTTCAAATGTATACAAAAGTTTGCATCGACACTGAGAACAGAGCTAAACGTATTTTGAGAACACAAAAGGCAGAAATGCAGTTGCTGACTTTGCTTTAAGAATACAACATAGACATGCAGAAGACTGAGGAGTGGAAGAAAAACCAAAATATTTCAAGAGCAACAAAAGAGGTGGCAACAAGTTAGCATTGTTAGAAGACAGCAACTGAAAGAGATTAAGCTGCTACATGAAAAATTCATGAAGAGTATCATGAAACAACTCTTTTCGGTGAAGAAAGTCAACTTAAAAAACAAATCACCAAGTTCCAAGATAAAACTGTATAGAAGACACTGCAGCAAGAGTTGGCACTGATTCCTAACTCGAGCTACACTAAACCACACGATAGTGTTTTGATATTCTTGCGCAAATCAGTATATCTCTTCTATCATTAGTCTGTTTGTTAAATGCCAGACCTCATTTCTGTGATCTGCTGAATGAACCCTAGACAGTTATGTGAGAAAGGAGCAAATGCAGTTATATACATGGTCAGTTCAATTTTAACATTAATGATAACTTAGTTTAAAGAAAAAAAAAAGGCCAGGCGCAGTGGCTCACGCCTGTAATCCCAGCACTTTGGGAGGCCAACACAGGTGGATCACGAGGTCAGAAGTTTGAGACCAACCTGACCAACATGGTGAAACCGTCTCTACCAAAAATACAAAAATTAGCCAGGCGAAGTGGTACACACCTGTAATCCCAGCTACTCGGAAGGCTGAGGCAGGAGAATCGCTTGAACCCAAGAGGCAGAGGTTGCAGTGAGCCGAGATTGTGCCACTGCCCTCCAGCCTGGGCGACACAGCAAGACGCCGTCTCAAAACAACAACAACAGGGAATCATCACAACTAGATTAGCCCTACAAGCAATGCTTAAGGCAATCCTACATCTGGAAGAGAAAGACAGCCATATCACCCTGAATGCGCCCAATCTCATCTGATCTTGGAAGAGACAAAATGGTATCTACCATCATGAAAACACACAAAAGCTTAAAAGTCACTGGTAGAGCAGATCCAGAAATAACAAAAAGGAGTCAAACATTATGACTATTTAAAAAAAAAAAAACCCACCAAATTATAAAGTAAACAATATAAAAGAAGATAGGTGAAAACCTGTCTCTATTAAAAATACAAAAATTAGTCAGGCATGGTGGTGGGCACCTGTAATCCCAGCTACTTGGGAGGTTGAGGCAGGAGATGCTTGAACTCGGGAAGTGGAGATTGCAGTGAGCCAAGATCACGCCACTGCACTCCAGCCTGGGAGACAGAGCAAGACTCCATCTCAAAAAAGAAAACAGAAGATAGAAGATAGGAACAAAATATATACAAGACAATCAGAAAACAACAGAAGCACAGGACTAAGTTCTCACCTATCAATAAAAACCTTGAATGTAAATAATTTAAATTCTCCAATTAAAAGATATAGACTAGCTGAATGGATTAAAAAAAAAGATTCAACTATATGTTACCTATAACAAACTCATTTCACATGTAAAAACACATATAGACTGAAAATGAACAGATGGAAAAAAATATTCCATGCAAATGGAAACCAAAAGAGTGCAGGAATAACTATACTTATACATAATAGACTTTAAGTCAGAAAACACAAAAAGGGACAAAGAAGATCATTACATAATGACAAAGGGATCAATTCAGTGAAAGGCCATAACATTTTAAATATATATGCACCCAATACCGAAGCACTCATATATAAACAATATATATGTGATATATAAACATTATTAGAACTAAAGAGAAAGACAGACCCTAATACAAATAATAGCTGGGGATTTTAACGCCTCACTTTCAGTATTGGGCAGATCATCTAGACAGAAACACTGGACTTAATCTACATTACAGATCAAATGGACCTAAAAGACATTTACAGAACCTTTCGTCCAACAGCTGCAGAATATACATTCTTCTCATCAGCACATGGACCATTCTCCAGCAGACCATATGTTAGACTCCAAAACAAGCCTCAACAAATTTTTAAAAATCTAAACCATATCAAGTACCTTCTCAGACCACAATAGAATAAAAGCAGAAATTAATAACAAGAGACACTTTGGAAACTGCAAATCCATGGAAATCTAACAACTGGCCAAACACGGTGACTTGTGTCGTAATCCTAGCATTATGGGAGGCCAAGGAGGGTGGATCACCTGAGGTCACGAGTTTGGGACCAACCTGGCCAACATGGTGAAATCCTGTCTCTATTAAAAATACAAAAATTAGCCAGGCGTGGTGGTGCACCTGTAATCCCAGCTACTCGGGAGGCTGAGATGGGAGAATTGCTTGAACCTGGGAGGTGGAGCCTGCAGTGAGCCAAGACCATGCCACTGCACTCCAGCCTAGGCATCAGATCAAGACCTCGTCTCAAAAAAAAAAAAATAAATAAGTCTAACAACCAATTCGGAACACATGCCAATGTACACGTGGATGTGAACAAAGAACCACATGGCTAAGCCATAAAAAACAATGAAACACAAAACTCAGGCAAAAAACTCCACCCTCAGAGTAGAATGCTGTAACTTCCATTCAGCCCTTCAATCCCACCTTCACTGGCTGGTCTGGTTTTCACAGCATTTCTCTTGCCTGAGACATCACGGTATCTCTAAGCGTATCCAAGACCTTCTGGTAGGTGTCCAGAATGTCCTGAGCAGTGGGTCTTTCTGAGGGAGTCTGGCTCTTGCATGCTTTGTGAATATCAAACAAATGAAATCGAACCATATCACTCCCTTCAACGTGCCCCAGAAGGAAACTGGAGATATCTGGGATCTTCCAAATGTCGATCTTCTCGTCATATGAGGGCATGAGATCATCGCGGAAAGGCATGTTCTCTCCATAGGGCCACAGTTGCTCTGGAGCCACAAAATCCCCATGCAGTTCCCTGTGGCCGCACTTTACCAGCGTCCCGGAGCTGTGGTTCACCAGGGGTAAGGCGTCCAAGTCATTTGCCACAATGCTGAAGTTGCTTGTCAGCAGATACTGGGACAGTGTCTTCGGCAGGTCGTTGGAGTCGCACATGACCCGCGTGCCCACGGGGCTGTGGTGCAGGTAATGAATGATGCTGACATAGTCCATGGCCAGCTGCAGCCTGTGCTGCCACGTGTTCACGTTTTGGTACTTTGAAAGATTTAGTATTTCTTCCAGGTTACTCAAGGAACCTAGAGGATGATATTCAGTAAGAATTGTGTTGTCATCCTCACAATAGCCAAGCAGCGTGACAACATGTGCACCTTGTAGAGATTTCAGCATCTGCAGTCCATGGAGGAAATCATCTTTCATCTCCAGGCTGGTGAGCCGTGAGAGAGCAACTTTGCGCTCCTTCCACTCAGACAGAAAGACCTGCAACAAAGCCACAGAGAACATCAAGCCTGAACTCTCACCTAATTTAGTGACCAGAAACAACATCCATCTTTTAAGTAGCAGGTGTTCTGCAGAAGACACAGAAATTAACGAGGGGCAGACTCTGTCTGAGCGTTGCTCTCCATCTAGTTATGAAGATGGTCTGATGAGCAAGCACGGCATTCAGCAAGGCAAGTGCCACATCAGTGAGTGGAACCTCAGGGCAGGAAGCGAATGCCTCTGGGCAGGACCCCAAGAACTGCTACAGAAGGTACTGGAAGGCTTCTGGAGGCTGGTCTTACAGGACGAGGGGGACTTGCAGATTCGATGTGGGTGGGGCAGGAGAGTGCTGGCTCAGGAGGGAAGACTCTGCATAACCACATGGCAGAGAGGAATGGCAAGTAGACTGCCAGTTCCAATGGACCACCGCACAGTGGGTGGGCAAGATGAGGAGGCAGGGGAGTGGCCTGGAAAAGAGGATGAGTGTGGAGACCCTGAAAAGCCTACATGAGGGTACAGAGCCCTGCCCATCAGATGTAACAATGTTACCCATTAATTTTAAAAGGTAGCATAGTAAATTATAAACAGGAATATTTACATGTAAGAAAAACATTTTTACATGTTCTGCGGTTTGGTGTTACTTCAGCTGTAATGACAGAAGCTGAAATGCTACACAAACACTAGACCTTCTCATATAGTCCACAGCTAATATAGAAGAGCAAGTGCACATTTCTGCCTTGGATTTCCGTCTTTCATTTGCTTGCAGGAAGCACTGTAATTAAGGAAAGAACCTCTGATATTTTGCTTAAAAGAACCTCTGATCTTTTGCTTAAATCCCAAGAGAAGGCAGAAGATTACAAAAGAGAAAGCAGGCTTGGGACTCAGGAGATCCTTGCCCCACACTCAGTCTGCAAGCAATGTGCTGTGTCATTGTTCAAATAAAGGTTACGGTTTCCAAAGCAGTTTTTTGCATTATTTATCAAGGGAATCTAACATCTAAATCTAAAATTTAAGGCAGGCTGGGCATGGTGGCTCACACCTGTAATCCAAGCACTTTGGAGGCCAAGGTGGGCAGATCACCTGAGGTCGGGAGTTCAAGACCAGCCTGACCAACATGGTGAAACCCCATCTTAAAAAAAATAATAAATAAACAAAATAAAATCTAAGGCAATAATCTGAAATAGGTAAGAAGTTCTAGGAATAAACATCTGGCATTATTTATAGAAGCATAAACTGAAACTTATCAAAAGATAGGGAGCAGTATGATAAACATATTGAGAACCCATCTTTACAAAAACTTTTTAGAAATTAGCAGGGTGTAATGGAGCATATACATACCTCCAGCTACTCAGGCGATGCTGAGGTGGGAGGATCATTTGAGCCCAGGTGGTGGAGACTGCAGTGAGCAATGATCACATCACTGCACAGCTGGGCTACATATATATAATGGGGTCACCAAAATGTATACATTTATAGAGTTATAACAGATAAAAGTAATGTTACAAACAAGAAGTATATAAAACCATTTGTGTAATAGTGTTCCAACTGATTAAAACAAGACACATTTCTATGTGCTGTAACACACAGGTAAGTAGACAGACTACCGAATATCCTACTGCCATCATTATCCTCCAAAGCCTGTGCTAGCATGTACGTTCACCAGCAGCGCCTGAGAGAATCTTAGGAATACACCCTGTGTCACACCAGATGTTACCAATGTTTGTAATCTGTGCCAATCAATGGATGAAGATACCTTGCTATTTTAATTTGTATTTCCCTATTACTAACGAGGCTGGGCATTTGTCATCTTTTTAAGCATTTCTGTATTTCTGCCGTCAAAAGTCTGTTCACTGCCCTGTATCCAATTTTCTACAGGGTTGTCTGCCTTATGCTTATTAATTACTAGCTCTTTATATTCAGCTGACCCTTGAACAACATGGGTTTGAACTGTGCCGTTCACTTACACATATATTTTCTTCTGCCTCTACCATCCCTTGGATACCAAGACCAACCTCTCCCCTTCCTCCTCCCTCCTCAGCCTACTCCCTGTGAAAAAAACAAGGATAACGACCTTTGTGATGGATGATGGATCCACTTCCACTTCATGAACAGTAAATGTACTTAATCAACAGTAAATGTATTTTCTCTTATGATTTTCTTAATAACATTTCTCTATCTTACTTTAAGAATACAGTATATAATACTTATATAAAGTACAGTTAGCCAACTGTTTATAATATCAATAGTAGGCTTTTAGTTGTTAAGTTTTTGAGGAATCAAACAGTATAAGCAGATTTTTTATTATGTGGGCAGTCAGCACCACTAATCTCCACATTGTTGAAGGGTCAATGTATTACCTATGAGACCCTTTATTATAAATGTAAAAGACAAGATCCAGAAAATAGTTAGCCCAGACACAGTGGCTCACACCTAGCACTTTGGGAGGTAGACAGGGGGATTGCTTGAGCCTGGAGTTCGAATCAGCCTGGGCAACATAACAAGACCTCAACTCTTTCAAAAAAGTTTGTTTTAGGCCAAGTGTGGTGGCTCACACCTGTAATCCCAGCACTTTGGGTGGCTGAGGTGGGTGGATCACAAGGTCAAGAGATTGAGACCATCCTGGCCAACATGGTGAAACCCCATCTCTACTAAAAAATACAAAAATTAGCTGGGCATGGTGGTGCATGCCCGTAGTCCCAGCTACTCGGGAGGCTGAGGCAGGAGAATTGCTTGAACCTGGGAGGCGGAGGTTGCAGTGAGCCAAGATCGGGCCATTGCACTCCAGCCTGGCACCTAGGGACAGAGTGAGACTCTGTCTCAAAAAAAAAAAAAAAAAAAGTTTGTTTTAATTAGCCAGGCATGGTGGCACATGCCTGTGGTCCCAGTTAAGAGGCTGAGGTGGGAGGGATCGCTTGAGCCCAGGAGTTCCAGGTTGCAGTAAGCTATGATCGCACCACTGCACTCCAGACTGGGCAAAAGAGACAGACTCTGTCTCTAAAACAGAAAATAGTTAACTTAGTTAATGTGGTCTTACAAGAATTTAACTGCTATGTAGTCAAATGTGTCCTCACTATGTCAATAACATAAATCCTGTCACCATGATATTTAGACACTAGTGCAGGGGGCAAACAATTAATAAAATAAATAGGAAATGAATAAAGTATGAGAAATTCGCTTTAGAGAAAAATTAAGCAGAGATGGTTTGCAATTTTAAATGGGGTTGGAGGAGTTCTCACTGGGGTGGTCTTTGAGCAAGACTTTGAAGGAGGTAAGGAAAGGAGCCATTTGGTGTTTGTAAAACTACAACCCAGCCAAGGGCCCTGGGGTGGAAACATGCCCACAGGCTTCCAGAACAGCATGGCCCTGATGCTGTAGTAGACTGGACATGGACCATGGAGCAGGAGAGAGCTGGTGAGAGGGTGCAAGCCTCCCAGGGCCTTGTCGTTGCAAGGGCTCTTTTACTCAGAATGAAACAGAGAGCCACCAAAGGATTCTGAGCACAGAAGATGCTATTTGACTAATAATTTAGTAGAAACATTCTGAGTGCTATGTTGAGAATAGACTGAAGAGGTGGGGAGTAGGCGTGGAGCAAAAAGACCATTTTGGAGGCTGATGAAACAATCTAAGTCCAGGGTCACGGTGGCTTGGAGTGGCTGGACTGAGAACTGGTGCAAGCCTGAGGAATGGTCAAGCCCAGGTCTCTTCTGAAAGGAGAAACAATGTAACTTGCTGATGAACTGAATGTGGATGAGAGAAAGCTCAGGATATTGCCCAAATAGATGGCCTGAATAGTGGGACAGATGGAGTTAGGAAAGAATAAAGGGTGGCTGGGCTGTCAGGGAGATCTGGGACACAGTGAGTTTGAGAAGCCTCTCAGACACCCAGGTGCATGTAGGGTAGGCAGCTGGATAGAAAGGTCTCGAGTTCAGGGAAGTGATCTCTGCACAGATAAAGCCAGAAAGCTGGGTGAGGTCACCTGGGGGCCAGCATGGAAGACAAAAGATCCAGGGTTGAAAGGGATGAGGAGGTAGAGCTGGCAAGAAGCCCAAGAGTGGATGCTATTCCTCCATACTTTAAACAGACTGTTCATGTGACATCTTTCCAGATGGCAAGCATTAAATACAGCCTCAAGCATTAAGACATCACAAAGGATCCTTCCAAAGGTTACACAAAGTGAGAGCTACAAAATAATGCAAGAGAAAGAATCAAATCCACTCTTTTGAAAGGATCCAACCGATACTATATGGATTTTTAATGTAATACATAGCAGGTCCTTCAATAAGTCATTTCATTATAACGATGAGAAAAATAAAATTGACTCCTGGCTCTGCTATAATCTTCCTTCTTCTCACTATTCCTGTTGCCCCATATCTACATTCCAGACTTTGGGCAGCTCCCCAGACACAGGGGTGCTGTGCCCTTAAGATGACTAGGACAGTGAGTAGTATCTGGTTCTTTCAATGTAATCTTGGGTTTTAAAATCTCAAAGGGATGAGTCCCCAACTGTATCCCCAGGAAATAAATTGAGGAGAGAGAAAGCAAGAGGAGAAGGGAACTTCCGCTTTGTACTTCACCTCCTACTAAATATTTGAATTGAGTGTACGGCTTTTACAATTTTTTTTTTAAAAAAAGAATAAAGAAAAAGCAAGGAGTTGATCTATCTTTCACAAACCAATTAGTGCAGCCATGGTGCAAAGCTACCCATTGCTCTTGGTAGAGGACACAATGCTCCTGACAATTCCAAACACAAACCAAATACAGTCGGGGAATGGAGGGGCAGCAGTGTTTGCATACTGACTGCGGAAGCCAAGACTATTTCATTGTATTATTTTACTCTGAGACAGGGTCTGCTCCGTCACCCAGGCTAGAGTGCAGTGGGGGAAATCTTGGCTCACTGCAGCCTCCAGGCTCAAGCAATCTTCCCACCTCAGTCTCCCAAGTAGCTGGGTCTACGGGTGTGTGCCACCACAGCCAGCTAATTTTTATTTATTTGCTTATGT